GTGACAAAGTGAGACTCCATCTCAAAAAAAAAAAGATTACCTTGAAGTGTTGCAGACTCTGTTGCCATCCACAACCCATGAAGGAAGAGGGCCAGGCAAGATGGTTATACAAATTACTCCAGCTGCACTTAGCAGCTTAGGCTCAGAGAAGGAGAAATGGACATTGGAGCGGGGATTGGAAGTGAAGAAACTGGGCACTGAGAGAGGGAATAAGGGCCCTAAGGACTTTGGATTCTTCTAGATGGAAAAGCTGCCCTTGCTGGGGCGCTAGTAAAGATTTTTTTAAATCTCAGTAATTAGAAGGGCCCATTCGGCATTTTTAACAAAAAACAAAGCCAGGGTTTACTTTTGTATTATGTAAAAAGGATCTGATTAACAGATAATTGATGTTAACAAGTTTAATTCAAAAAGAATAAACTGTTTTTCAAGTACCACAGGCACTGCTGGAACAGGATGAAAACGGATACACCATTTACTAATTACTCCTCACTCTTCAAATTGATTCCCGTAAAGACTTCTACTTCGCAAATACTTTAAAATAGGCTGTGTACAGGAAAGAAATAATAGCACGTGTATTTGTATTTTATTATTCAGACTGGCTGCCATCCCAACTAGATAAAGGAGGTTTTACTGGGCTGTAATATCTAGCACTTGCATGTTTTCAGAGCACTCTAAACTGGTTTTCTCCCTCTTCACAGGATCAGCAGGGAACACGTTCCCCATTTTGCAGGGAAACCAAGGCCAGGAGAGGTGAAGCGGCATACCCCAGGTCACCACTCAGACCTCTTGCCTCCAAGTCCAAGGCTCTTTCCTCTCCCAATTCTCCTGATCTGTGACCTCCTGGGCATTCTGGCCAATCTGCTTCCCTCTGACTTTGCAGACTGCCCTGATGGAGCTACCACAAAGGCAGGTGGGAAGCCTGCAGTCTCCTGACCAGCCTGTGCTTCTTGGTTCTTACGCAAGCCAGTTCTTTCTGTGAAATATTTATCAGCAGCTCTCAACCACCAGGTCTATGAGGGTCCCTATTGTCCTTCAGCCAAGGCTGCTCTCTCCCCGAGACCCCCGCCTCACCAGGAGCACAAGGATACACGCAACTATTGCAGGAAACGTAGGTTCTTCCTGCAATACAATTAAAGCTGCTAACATTTACTGAGTACCCACTGGTGGTTGTGAGGATGAGGTAATGTATGTAAAGTTTTAGCATAGTCTGTGACAATGTATGTAAAGTTCTTAGCATAGTCACTATGTTAAGAGGTAATTATGTAAAGTTCTTAGTCACTATGCTAAGAACTTTACGTAATTACCTCATCCTCACAACAACCCAACAAAAATTCTCACCCCTATTTTACAGGTGAGGATATTGAGGTTCAGAAGGGCTAAGTGACTTGCCCAAGGTCATCCAGTTAATTGTTGAGGTAGTATTCATAATTCAAGTCTGTCAGACTCGAGAATCCACTTTATTTTTCCTCTGCTACACTGCCCTGGCTCCCTACTTTACAAGTACTTAAGAGATCTAAAGCAAAGTGGAAAAGAAAAAGTGAGGCAAGACGGAGGGGCTTTTACATTTTCACCGCCTGGCTCCCAACCCAGACTCTGGCAAGGCTAATTCCATGATGTTTCACTCAGCAACAGTCCCACCAACCAGGAGCCCTGGGGAGCTGACCAGAGTCAAAAGGCTCCCTGGCAGGCTTGTTCTGGCAGCTGCCCAGTCGACTTGTGCTAACACAGCAACAGGCACAGGAAAGGGTCTAGAAAGAGTGGAAAAGCACCAGACACTGAACCGCTGCAGGGAGAGAAGTGATTCCTGCCGTGCTCGGACAGCATAACCCTATACTAAAGCCAACACCATCACAGGGCTGGGAAGAGACGGGGAGAAGTGGTGGGAGCAAAAAGCCCCAAGCACGTCCACTCGCTCATGTGTTTCAGTGAACTGTGACTGGAAGGCCAGTCAAAAAGAGGGTCACTGCCTCCAAGGTGAATCAGCAAGCATGGAAGAAAACCAGTCTGTACCTTGGTTCATTCCAGCAACCCTGACCTGTCTATACCCACATCCACATAAACCTTGCTACCTAATGTCACCTGAGCAGAGGCAAGAGCACATATACTCTCTTACAGCCACTGCAATGACCGATTTCAGCCAGCCTGTGGGAAAGAAAGATCTAGCTGAGAATACTAATAGACTTGCTAGAGGAAGAAATTCAGTGACGACGTGCTCTTGGAAAGAAAAGTATTTAAAAGGGGGCACAATCAAAGTGAGACTGGAAGAAGGGAGCCACTTGGATTCCGAAAGATAGGGCTCTCTCGACCAGACACCGAGTGCAGGCCAATGGGTGGTGACAGGGATATTTTAAAAGATCTGAAAATCCAAAAATGTCCATGGGAAAATGTGTTTGCTATTATTTCTGTAGGCTTTCCATCCTCACATTTTTCTTAGGTTATTAAGCTGTCTTTGTACAGGATGCCCAAAAGGGTTTTGAGGGAAACCAATTCTGGAATCTAATATTTGTCACAAGTTGATAGATCGAAAAAAAAGCATATTTCTTAGGTGTCATCAGAAGGAGGAGGCAGTTTGAGAGGTCACAAATTGGCAGCCACTGGGTCAAATTAACCCCGCAGGTAGGTTAGCATGCTTAGAATTTTGTAAAATGAACTATCAACACTTAAAAATCAGAAGGTTACACACACCAGACAACCCTGAATTTCTAGCATCTTTTCTTTTTTTTTCTTTTCTTTTTTTTTTTTTTTTAACACTCTCTGGAACTCTTAGAACATCTTTTAGAAAAATTCAAAAATCTGGTACCACTGGATGAGCAGCAGATTGGAAGGTGAGTCGCCACTGCCCCCTTTCGGCAGGTCTGTACTTTCTGCCAGCGTGGTGGCGCATTTGTCACCTGACCTCTGCCAGCACCAGTGTTTGGTTTAGCCCAGGGAAGCGATTGCAGGCTTGGTAATGCCCAGGACTGCCATAGGGTGGCAGCACTGGTGTGCCAATGAGGCCTGCTCATCAGCCAGAACCAGAAATCTCCTTACTTGGTAGCTGACAGCCTCTCCCCAAGCTCTATCGATTTGTTCCCTGCGAAGCAACAGCAGCTCATTTCCACATTCCCACTAGGCCTCAGTGACCTAGAAGAAGCCAACGACTCAACCTGCTCCCTCCTCTCAGGCCACCACCAGGTCCTGGAAGGTACCTCCAGCTGGCACCTCTTCACAGCTGGCACCTCTAACTGTTCAGGAACTCCACCCTCACCCACCTGTGAACATCATCAGGCCTCAGGAGAGACAGTCTAAGAAGCAGGGCCAATACCCACTCCCTTTTAGAGGCAGATTAATTCACGAAATGCTCAGTACTGCCCTTTGCTGACTTAAACATCAGACGGCTTCAAGAGGCAACAGCTTCTTATGCTTCTTCCTGCCGTCTGCTTTTACTCCCCTCACAGCCTTACCAGCAACATCTTAAGTGGTAACATTTAGTAGAAACTCCTAGAGCCCTTTAGGAAAGACATTTGGTGTTATGCATGAGATCCTCAAAACTGCTCATTTATCCCATTTCATCCAAAGTGACATTTACTATTTTTACTGTTTATTCCAAAATGCAGGAAAAGCTTCATATAAGATATTCATTGCAGTATCTAAACAAGTGAACCACCAGAAACAATTGAAATGTCCGGCAGTATGGAAACTGTCCAGAATAAACTTATGCCATACTCCCACTTGATAGACAATTATGTTGCTATTAAAAACAACTACAGCCGGGTGCGGTGGCTCATGCCTGTAATCCCAGCACTTTAGGAGGCCAAGACAGGCGGATCACAACGTCAGAAGTTCGAGACCAGCCCGACCAACATGGTGAAACCCTGTCTCTACTGAAAATACAAAGATCAGCCAGGCGTGGTGGCGCGCACCTGTAATCCCAGCTACTCAGGAGGTTGAGGCAGGAGAATCGCTTGAACCCGGGAGGCAGAGGTTGCAGTGAGCCGAGATCACGTCACTGCACTCCAGACTGGGCAATACAGTGAGACTCCATATTAAAAAAAAAAAAAAAAAAACTACAGGCCGCCAGGCACGGTGCCTCACACCTGTAATCCCAGCACTTTGGGGAAGTTGAGGCAGGCGGGATCACTTGAGGTCAGGAGTTTGAGACCAGCCTGGCCAACATGGTGAAACCCCCATCTTTACTAAAAACACAAACACTAGCCAGGCGTGATGGTGCACACCTGTAATCCCAGCTACTTAGGGAGCTGAGGCGGGAGAATCACTTGAACCCAGGAGGCAGAGGTTGCCTTGAGCCAAGATCACACCACTGCACTCCAGCCTGGGTGACAGAATGAGACTCCATCTCCAAAAAAAAAAAAAACAAAAAACTACAGGCCAAGGCCGGAGGATCGTTTGAGACCAGCCTGGGAAACATAGTGAGACCTGGTTCTACAAAAAATAAAAAAATTAGTTGGGCGTGGTGGCATACTCCTGTAGTCCCAGCTATTTGGGGGGCTGAAGTGGGAGGATCACTTGAGCCCAGGAGGTCAAGGTTGCACTGAGCCGTGAATGATGACCACACAAAATGGAAAAATGATAATGTAAGAAAAGTATATAAAATTAAATGTACAGTAATAACTATCTTTAAAACCTATGCAGACAATTAGTAAAAGACAACAAAATGTTAATGGTTGTTATTAACGAGCTGGGAACATGGGTGCCCTTTTTAAAATCCCTACCAAATCTTCTTGAATGTGCGTATATACTTTTATAGGGAAAGGCGTGTGCGTGTGTGTGTGTGTGGTCTACTTCCATTTAGACTTGAAGCTGCTAAGGCCAATTGTAATGATGGTAAAAAGGTTCCTAGGAATCTGTGCCTCCAGGGTTCAATGCAACCGCACTAGTAAAGCAGTTTCCAGGGCTCCTTGGCACCCTTTAATACCAATGTTATCCTGCTCTAAAACACCTGTACTTGCCTAACTCCTAAGAAGACTCCCAAATACCATCTAGATGATAAGATTCGATCATTATGGTTCTCAGATACCACTTTAATCAAGTTTTGTACTCTACAGTGATGGGGGTAGATGATGGGGACTGTTTTCAAGCAAATTCACGAGGCACATGTTCGTCCCTGCCCCAAAGTGAACAGTCTGGGCTTCCCAGAACAGAAAAATGCTTTCCTTCCCGGGGGAATCCCATTCCTGAGCTGACAAGACAGATTTCAGTAAGAATGAGCACAAAGGATAGGGCAAAACAGTGAAGGGAGCCAGGTGCATATTTGAATTCTTCCCAGTGCAGACTGGAACTAGACATGCAGGTATCCCTCCTAAAGGCAACACCCAAATCCCAGCCATTCCCACTCGAGGCCAAACCGCCTGCCCACAGAGATTGACAGCCAACGTTCATCTCATAACACTCCTCCCAGCAGTGCACCAGTAAACTCAGATGCCTGAGTGCTCGTGGCCACCACACAACAGATGCGGCCTTCCTCTTCACTGGCCCTCTGGCTGCCGCTGGGTCTGCCTGGACATGAAGGAGCAGCCAGTATTTGTGTGGCTGTGTGGTGTGGGAGGGGCCAGAATAAGCAACAAAGCCAATTAGATGTGGGTTCTGGGGCTCTGTCAACATGGTAGCAGGACAAGTCACCGCCCACAGTAGGACCGTAGGGCCCTGTGTCCTCCATCAATTCTTCTCTGGGCGGTTTCTGTTCAGCACAGCTTTCGGGGCAAATTCTAGCTTGTCCTTAAGGCTCACCACCTGCGTGTGGTCCTTGCCTAGAAGCTCATCCAGCTTGCGATCCTCTCGGCGCTCTGAGATGCTCTTTTCCTCCTCCACGGGCTGGGGGTCCTTTCCCCTGATGAACCATTCCAGGTGGTAGCCCACAGCCCCGACCACGAAGGCAACAGGGAATGTGACATAAGGAGCATAGGTACGAACCACGGTCCAAAACACAGGCCACATGACATCTGTGGAAGAGCACAAGGCAGCATTAGAGAGAACGCAGCATCACCTCCCACCAAATAAGAGCAACCCACTAGGGCTCTCCACTTACCAGGCAGCCTGGCACAATGTTTTTTAATTTTTGTTTTGTTTTTTTTGTTTTTTTTTTTGAGACGGAGTCTTGCTCTGTCACCCAGGCTGGAGTACAGTGGTGCGATCTCGGCTCACTGCAACTTCCACCTCCCAGGTTCAAGCAATTATCTGCCCTAGCGTCTCAAGTAGCTGGGATTACAGCTAATTTTTGTATTTGTTTAGTAGAGACAGGGTTTCACCGTGTTGGTCAGGCTGGTCTTGAACTCCTGACCTCATGATTTGCTCACCTCGGCCTCCCAAAGTGCTGGGATTACAGGCATGAGTCACCGTGCCTGGCCAGCCTGGCACAACTTACTGAGCACCCACCCCCATGCAGAGCAATGCGAGAGGTGGGTCCCTGAAATAATCTAGGAAATTTCAAAAGATTCCATTGTTAGGGAAGAAGGAGGGATCTCCAGTTTACAGACTGTAATCTTTGACAAGTGTGCACCAATATATGACAATGTTCCCCACAAGGGGACCTCTGAGCCTTACCTAATAGAGCTTCAAGCCCATTGACCCCAGGCCCTAGTTTGCCAACATTTCAAGAAGGGAAAAAGACACCTTTCTCTGCTCTATGAAATTTCTCCATGAGCGCAGCCAGCCACCTTTTCCCCATGACACACAATTCTACAATTCTCCACCATATGAAAAGTCATTCCTTTTCCTCATGTAAAGCATAAGGAGTATATTTAAACAGTCAAATACATACTGTGTTACCTAATTATTCTGGATTTTAGGTAAATAGATAATGGTTTTATCCTATTTTGAAACCTGGCTTTTCTAACAAGGGGACAAACCTATACTTTACAAATCTGCTGACCAAACCACTTTCAAAGTATCCTATCTTGGCTAAAGACGGTGGCTCACACCTGTAATCCCTGTTACTCAGGAGGCTGAGGCAGGAGAAATCACTTGAACCTGGGAGGCGGAGGTTGCAGTGAGCTGAGATTACGCCACTGCACTCCAGCCTGGGCGGCAGAACGAAACTCCGTCTCAAGAAGAAAAAAAAAATTCCTGTCTTCAATGAAACCCATACCGTCGTATTTACATAAAAAGCTCCTGAAAATATCACAAATCATTATACATACTCTGGATATCGCAGAACTTGAAGATTTACTGTGAAAAACCACTGTACAAGCCCTGGCCGGGAGCTGGGGCGGGGGTAGGGGGGCAGGGAGAGGAGTGGAATTGTCTCAGGGCCTCCTGAAATGAAGTAGGGCAATGCCAAAGTAATGTAAAAACACACAAATTGGGTCACTCTAATGGCCATTCTGTCTCAAATGATTATTACATTATCAATTATCAAAGATCATTCACAGTTATAATAACACAGCTACCATGTATTGAGCGCTTATTACATGCTAGGCCTTGGGCTAGCCACATCGTATGCACTCTCTCTTAATCCTCATGTCCACCACGTAAGCTAGATACATAACCCACTATCAGAGGGTTAAGAGACTTGCCCAAAAGTATCCACTAAAAGATCTTTCTGTTTATGCCCCTGTAGGTACTTCTCCAACACTGCTATCTCTGATCTAAAGTGAACAATCAAAACCTCACCAAGGATAAGATGATTCTCCCCCTCTCTCTTTGGTTCCCAATTCTCTTTGAAGGAATCCCATTGTTCTCTGGACGTTAACACTATAAGGCAGCGGTCCGCAACCTATATTTGGCACCAGGGACCAGTTTTGTGGAAGACAATTTTTCCACAGATGGGGTTTGGAGAGGGATGGTTTCGGGATGAAACTGTTCCAGCTCAGATCATCAGGCATTAGATTCTCATAAGGAGCACACACCCGGATTCCTCGCATGCGCAGTTCACAATAGGGTTTGCACTCCTGTAGGAATCTAATGCCGCTGCTGATCTATCAGGTGGAGCTCAGGCGGTAATGCTTCCCAGCTGGCCCACCACTCACCTCCTGCTGTGCAGCCCAGTTCCTAATGGGCTGAAAACCACCACCGGTCTGTGGCCCAGGAGGTTGAGGATCCCCCCAGTAAGGGAGCATCATGAAATTAAAAATAATAAACAAAATAAAAAAATAAATAAAACTGCAGCATCTCCAAGACTCCCCTCCTTATTGTCTTAGCACCAGGCACTATGATGACAATTTACACACAAACTATCACCTGATCCTCATAACACCTCTATGATGTAGGAATGATTAGCCCAGGCTCTTGTTGACACAAAGGCTCACAGACATTATGTTAACTTACCCAAAATCACCAGAAGTGATAGAGCCACTGATTTTGAACCCAGGCCTCTCCAACTCAAAGTCTACACTCTTTCTAGAGGGAAGAACACACTGCAGAGGTATACGATTTCTGTTCAAATCCTGGATTTGGAGAGAGCTTCCTACAGTTCTTTTCCCATCAGCCTGGCATTTCATTACCTAGAAGAGCTTCCCCTTTCCCAAACCCTGAGATTATACTCAGGGATTTGTGAAATTCAGAGATATAACAATAGTTCAAAGAGGCACCTCTGAAGAATCCCAAACCTAATACTTCTTCATTTTCCTTCCACCTTTAAAGCAAGTCCTCTGTAGAAGTAAATGCTTCCCTAAATAGCAACTGTCCAGACTTTCAAATCTGTCTTAAAACATATCGAGCCTGAGTTCACAACGATCTCTCACATGCAGCATAAAGTCTCTCTCTACCGTCCTGCTCACATTCTAATCATTCCCAAATAAGTCACTTCATTCCTTTATTCAACACTTATAACCACTTGCGCTCTGTCAGGCACGGTGCTGGCTTACCCTGTTTGCATTTCTCAAGACACTTTAAGCTCCAAAAGGCTAAGCACCATGTCCGTCTGGCCCCATTGTGCCCTATCCATCCAGGCACCTCTCCCACCCTGCCTGGCAGAGTGCCCAAAAAAGGTCTGCTGAACGAATGAATGACAGCCCAAACAACTCCCTAGTGTAAAATCACAACATTCTCCACCCACTCTCCTCCAGAAGGTGGCAGGAACATAACAGAAGCCTTTGCTGATTACAGAAACCTAAAGACTCCATCATAGTCATCCCCAGACAAGGTATCACAATGAAAGAGGCAAAAGTGTCTGAAAAACACTGTGACGCATATTTCCAGCCCGGCACGGAGGACGTCTGCCAAAAGCATCCGGTAAAAGTCAACTGAGTTGCTGGGAAACCTGCCCCAGTGCGGGGGCCCGGAGGCCCAACGAGGCCAGAAGCCGTAGTCCCAAATTCAAGAACTGCTAACAAGGACAGAGGAGGCCTGAGAAGGTGAAAGAATTAAACCTGACAGTCACTCAAGCGCAGTCCAGGAATGGGAGCGCAAGTGAGGTCAGGGTCCATCCAAATGGCTACCCTTCTCCCTTCTGTGGGGCTCCCGGTCCACTGCCCCTAGCCCACCTCATTTGTGGCCTCATCAACGTCCGTCCTCACTGAGGTGCCGATAAGCCCTGTCTGCGGAGGGCTACTTGGGCTCCCAGACTGGGCACCAGAGCACCCACCAGAGAAGGGGGCTGGCAGGTCTGGCCGGGACCGGGGTGGACCCCAGCGATCACTCCTCCCGTAACTCAGAGGTTACGGGCCTGGACTGACCGGACCTGCTCGCCCGGACCGCGCGCTCACCTGCGGCCCAGCCCACACTCCCCAGTGTGGCCCCCGCTCTCCGCCCGCTCGCCGGGAGCACGGAAGTCGCCGCTCCCAGCGGCCCGCGGGACCTTGCCCTGTGACCCTGCCCACTAGCCGCCGGCTCTCGGAGCGCAGGGATTGGCTGAACTTTAGCCAAAGGAGGGAAGGAAGCTAGGCGTCCGCAACCGGGCCCCACTGCGCTGAAATGGACGTCGCGCCCCCTGGTGGCCTGGAGGTTTCTCAGTGCTGTCGCCACGTGCTTTCTACGTGGAAAAAGTGAAAGATCGATCATCCAGTCATCTTTTTCAACTGATGTTTATTAGGTGTCTTCTAAGACCTAGGTCTTGGCACGCAAAAACAAAAGACATGATCCCTGACCTCAAGAAGCTCTTCTTAGGAAAGTATAATTTAGTGCTTTAAGACCTCTTGGGATCCAGGCTAGCTTTCTAGTGACCCTGGGAACATTATTAACCTGTCTGAGGCTCCCTTCCCCTTCTGTGTAGAGGTAATAACACCCATTTCGCAGGGATGGTGTGAGGGTTGGATGAGACAATATTTGTAAAGTACTGTGGCAGGCACACAGCCAGCAGGGAAATAAATGTGGCTAGTGTTAGTGTAAAAATAATTGAAATATAGTAAAACCTAAGTCTTGCATGACCTCTTGGGTACAAGTATTCACTTCCTCCTCTGTGTCCCCACTGTACCCTATACAGACATCAATTTTATCATATACAGAAAAGTCCCAAAGCTCAAACTTCTTAACGCTCCCACAAGGCCCTTCCCACCTTCATCCCACTAATCTCAGCCTGCATATTTATTTTGCTCGCACATACAAAACCCAGCAGACCACGCTGTTTCACACCCAGTGAATTACTGATGCTTTTTCATCTACCTAGAGTGTCCTTCCCACCTTTTTTTTTTCTTTCTTTTTAGTTTCACTCTTGTTGCTCAGGCTGGAGTGCAATGGCACGATCTCGGCTCACCGCAACCTCCGCCTCCCAGGTTCAAGCGATTCTCTCCTGCCTCAGCCTCCCGAGTAGCTGGGGTCACAGGCATGCACCACCACGCCCGGCTAATTTTGTATTTTTAATAGAGAAGGGGTTTTTCCATGTTGGTCAAGCTGGTCTCGAACTCCCCACCTCAGGTAATCCGCCTGCCTCAGCCTCCCAAAGTGCTGGGATTACAGACGTCAGCCACTGCGCCCAGCCGGTTTTTTTTTGTTTTTGTTTTTGTTTTTGTTTTTTTAAACAAGATCTCGCTCAGTCACCTAGGCTGCAGTGCAGTGGCACAATCATAGCTTACTGCAGCCTCGACCTCCTGGGCTCAAGTGATCCTCCCACTTCAGCCCTCCGAGCAGCTGGGACCACAGATGCACACCACCAGGCCTGGCTAATTTTTGTACTTTTTGTAGAGACTGGGTTTCACCATGTTGCTCAGGCTGGTCTCAAACTCCTGAGCTCAAGCAATCTGCCCGCCTCAGCCTCCCAAAGTGCTGGGATTACAGGCATGAGCCACCGTGCCTGGCCATGCAGTGCCCTTCCCGCCTTTCTTTACTATGCCAAATTGTGCTCTGGCACAATTTTCAAACTTCAGGGACACCTCCAGAGAAAGCCTCATACACAGACTGCTTACCATGTTAGGCACCCTTCCCCTATTATCTCAAAAGCTCAAAGCTAAGTTCTGGCAGTTAAGATGGAGAAAGGGGAACAGTGTTGTAGGGACCAAGGTTCACTGAAAATCAACTGACAAAAGGCAGATTAATAGGAGAAAAGACATACAAAATTTTATTTTAACGTGCATAGCACGGGGTGGGGGGTGAGGGGGCGGGAAGGGAAGGGTCACAGGAGAATGATTACCCAATAACCCAATGGGGTACAGAAGCTTATACACCCTTTTTCAAAGGGGAAGGGGAGAGATGGAGAATATAGACAATTCTTTTGAGGGAAGCACGTGATTCTGAGGGCGAAAAAATGGACAGAAATTAACTTGAAAATGATTCTCTTTAGAATTTGAATGAGCCCGAGAAGCAGGCATCATCTTGTGAAAAATCCATCCAGGCGTAGTTGCCTTCCTCAGTCTTCTTTTCTGAGATAGATGAGATTTCGCGGAGGGGAGGAAGGCAATTTTGTTTCTTTTGGAAAGAAGTTTTCTTGATTAGATTAGGACATTCCAGAGAGAGTGCCTCCCTATACTTGGGAGAGAAGGTTAGAGGGACCTTGATTCTGAGGCAGCTTTGAAGGCCTCTCACCATGTCAAAGCGCCAGTCTTTGGGGTATCGCTTTCTGAGCCCCAACAGTACAAAGAAATATTTAGGAGACCGTGGTTAGCAGAACCTGTTCACTAACTGAATATGTGGAGACGAGAAGGGAACAGAACTGCCCAGAGTAACTGGCATTTGGCCAGCCAATCATGTGCTAGGCATTGGGGATGCAAAAATGGCTGGGACCAACCTGCCTCCAGAGTTCTCTGACTAAAGAAACAGATGGGTCTACAAAATGTCAATAGAATATAAGAAATGTGATGACAGAAGTATACACACGCAGCACAGAGGAGGATCTTCAGCCTGGCCAGGAAGATTCAGGGAAGGCTCCCTAGAGGAACCAGGCCTTGAGCTGAGTCTTGAGTCATGGCTAGCAGTTCCCTCAAGCAGAATTGCTGAGGGGCTCAGGAGCATAGACTTAGAAATCAGATAGCCATGGGTTCAAATCCTGACTCTTGTCTGCTTATCTCAGAAAAGCTATTTACACTCTTTGTTTTAAAAAAAGACAATAATAGTACCCACTCCTAGGGTTGCTGTGAGTATTAAATCACCTAAATGTGTATAAAGTGCTTGGCATAGTAGTTTGCACCTTCTCAGTGCTCAGTAAATGGTTATTGACATGTTAAGTATTTCCCAACTGTATTGCTCCTTCTGCAATGTCCTATGTCCATTCGTGGCATTACTCATTCATTAAGCCAGAAATCTGAGTGACACCTTCAAGGCGTCCCATCTTTGCGTTATTCTCCAGATCCAGCTTGCAGCATGTATGCCTCCTAAATGTCTCTCAAAGTCAACATCATTATCTCTTACCTGGACCACTTTAGCAGCTCCCTCAATGGTCTCCCTGCTGTCTTGTTGCCCCCTCCAGTCCATGTCCTGTCTTTTGGCCATAGTTTTATCTTTCAAATAAAACTATGAGGCCTCCATCTTAGCCCCCTACCCCCAACTCTATGGGTTCCTTCTGGCCATATCTCCTCCACGCCCTCCACAGCCACCATAACCTGTCACCCTCTCCAGCCTGTGCTTTCATTCCCAACACACATGTGCCTCCACGGCTTTGCCCAGGTTTGTCCCTTGGCCAGAAATGAATTTCTCCCTTCTCTTCCTTGACTACAAAATGCTAATTCATCCTGCAAGATCCAGCTCACAAGGCAGAAAGCTCTCCCAGACTGCCTGTGCTATGGTTGTACCCTCCAAAACTTACACTGAAATGTGTCATTGTAAGTACTAACTGGTGGGGCCTTTAAGAGGTTATTAGGCCATGAGGGTTGCACTCTCATGGGTGCAACTGACGCCCTTATAAAAGGGCAAGTTCAACTCCCTCTTGCCCTCTCTTACCTTCTCACCTGCCATGGGATGACACAGCAAGAAGGCCCTCATGAGTTGCCAGCACCTTGACACTGAATTCCCCAGCACCCAGAACTGTGAGCCAATAAATACCTGTTCATTGTAAGTTACCCAGCCTGCAGTATTCTGTTATAGCAGCACAAAATGGACTAAAACACCCTGGTTGCTAGAGGCTCTCTCCTCTCTCAACCCCTTGGCCCCTCTGAGAGAGCAGGTCTCCCTTTGCACCATAACTTTCTGTTTATGTGCTGGCCATGGCCAGACTGTAAGCAACTTAAGCCAAAGGACTGGACCTAATCTTTCACTGATCTATGGGGCTCAGCATAACTACCTAGGCCACAAGAACCAAAGGAGACTCATCCACACCAGACATAGAAAAGTCTATGAAAAGTCATAGACCCATAAAATGCTGTATAATGTAAAGGTTAAACTCAGACTCAGCCACTTCCTGGCTTCATGGTTTGAGGTAAGCTGTTTAAACCTCTCCATGCCCCAGTTTCCTCATCTGTAAATGGGGATGATGACAATATCTGTTTTACAGCGTTGCTCTGAGTTCAAACCTCACCCATGCCCCAATTTTAGAGATGATAAAACAATCTCAGAGAGGTAAACTGACCCAGCCCTTCTACTGGAGACCCTTGGACAGTCATCCAATTTAAGTCTTCCCAAACCTGGCTGCTCAGAATCTTGTGGAGCACTTGTTAAAACCTTATTTGAGGGCAGAGTCTATTCACTAAGTCTTGGACGAGGCCCCAGAGTCTGTATGGGATCACCTCCAAACTAACTGCTTTTGGGAATTCAGATCACATTACAGCCCTCCTCACCTTCCAGGCTCATGTGAATTTGCATTGTGGACCATCTCTTGCTTTTCAGAAGTTGTCTACCAAACCAGTCTATAAAACGTTCATGCCACTCTTCTGTTCAAAACCCTTCTATAGCTCCCTACAGCCCACAAGACCCAGGCCACCTGCCTCAATGAGACCCAAACACTGATATAATCAAGACCCTGTGCTCCCAATGTCTCTTCCTCCTCCAGGCCTTTGCACAGCTGTTCCCTGATCTTGGAACATTCTTCTCAAC